TCAAATTTAGAGCTGATGAAATTTTAACGCCCCCATCCTCCACTACCTCTATGGACCGTTAAATTTAATTGCGTGTCGTTTGGCTTATACTTTTTGTACGGGAAATCAGTGCAATTTTGATATTGTCTACGTCACGCCCAATTGCCACTGCGGAAAGCGCGCATGTTGCATCCGTCAGGGTAACTTTGGAAGACGAAGTGAAAAAAGGGAGACGTACCTTTCTCTCCCCGGGGTGAGCGTCGACGTCTCTCTAGAAAAAGGATCGTCGGACCAAGGTCCTCTTGGGAATTATTCGTATTCGCTGCGCGCGTGCATGACTGTACTTCGTTAAGGGAGGCAAGGGTAACGCGACCTGCTCCGTTTGAGAGCTGCTGGAGTACTGTGGGACTTGAATGTCGACGGTGGACCCGATTCTCCTTGGCGTTCGCATACATAATGGGACGCTTTTGGGGCGTGTCCTCCTTGAGGTGTTGGCTGTACTTTTATGAATACGTGGGGGCTTCATAAGTAGTTTTCTTTTTTTTTTTCCATCTTCTTTGGTAGATTAAAAAGTCCTAGACAGCAACAAACACCTATACACGTGATTCATAAAATGGTATCAGTTGATATTTTTATGTATTAAAAAAAAAAAAAAAAAAAAAATGTTTAACTCGTGCGTCACGGTTTACATGAATCACAAATCCGTCAACAAAGTTCCTCCCACGGATCTCTCTGAGCAATGTATAGTTGTACACTAAAACTTGAAGTATAAAAATAAAAGGCAAAAACTTTTTTACCACTGCAAATTACATTAATATAATTTAGTAAAGGGGAAAAAAACAAAAATATATTCATTTCAGGCGCAATCATTGTTTTCGCTTAAACGTGCAAGTTTGGGATTAAAAGTTTGTCAACACGATGTTTACAACCCCTTGGTACGTTTCAACGAATCTTGTTACTCGTGAAAACGGTAGGTACTACTGCAACTCGTTAATACTCCCCGAAAATACACCGGAAACTCCCACGGATACGGTAGTCTTGAAAGTACACGGAAGAGTTCTCTCTTCGGTAGAGATTACCCTGTGCGTGTGTTGGGCGTGGTAAATGAATTTGGGGCGTAAATGGCTTTAAAACTTCCGGAAAAATCGCAGTAAAGCCATTTGAGGAAAAAAAAAAAAAAAAAAAAAAAGGAAGGAATGTAGGGACTGTGCCGAAACGATTGCTCGGTTGACGCCAAGAGGGAATTAAAGAGTGAGTAAGCAAGTGAGATGTAACCGAGGGTGGGGGAAAAAGAGGAAGGAAGGAAGTGAGAGTTAAAGGAGATAAGAGAGTATAAAAGAGCAAGAAGAAACATTTTTATTTTTTTTACTCCAAGGTACCATTGTCGAGAGGCTTAAACCTCCGTTGCTCGCATTTTTACCTTCCCACGAGTGTTTAATAACGATTTCATGGTCACGCGAATGTCATCTTGCGAGTATATTAGGAAAAAAAAAAAAAAAAAAAAAAAAAAAAATTAAGAGCAGTTCATATTTACTGATCTATATGAAATATACACCTACTCGTGAAACAAAACAATATCGGCAGACCAGATGCCAAATAGCAAGTCACGCGCACATTGTACAGAAAAAGTTTTTTGTTTGATGTTGGACGACGTTAGTTTGTTGCTGGTGCGTGTGACATAAAAAGCGAGGGAGGAGCGTCGCGGCGCTGGTCGCGCGCCAGGGTTTTCGCGGTAGCGACCTCGATGACGATGATTTTCGCGAAATTCGACAAATCATGCCCCCCACCGAACGAGCACTCGATCGCACGTTTGCGCTCGCCAAATTTATTAAGTATACCATCATCGCAAAGATGGAATCGTGGCCTTACTCGTGTACAATTTTATTTTTCCCTTTCCCTCGAAATATACAAATGCACCACCAATATACGATCGGCAATCGCTGCATACATTGTGTATATAATACACTTGGTGGCTGGTGATGAGGAGTCTTTTATTTATAGAGCAAACGTATGAATGCAGATGCGCTACACAACTCGAACCAATGATCTAACGAACCTCGCGGTAATGAGTGTAAAGTGTATTAATGGACGGAACTGAAGAAAAACACATTTTCGCGTTGAATGAAAATGAAAAAAAAAAAAAAAAAAAAAGATACGATTTTATTTTGCAATTTTCAAGCATTGCAATATAGGTAGGTATATACCTACCCAATACCAATCAGAGACGCGTGCCGGGGAGTGCGCCCGTATATATATAGGTAGCAGATATAGCGCTTTCTCCTCATCTTCTCTCGAGTCGAGTTTTATCTCTCTGCAGTGTAAGGTACGAGCTGCAGGGCAATCAAGGGCCGAAGTAGCTATTTTCTCGATGGACTGCGATCTATTTATACATGCAAACGCGGGCGCTTCGCTCTACGCTCCACCTTTGCATGGCCCAGAGCGTATTATAGAGGTAACGTAGACACACGCACACGCGCCGACTGTCGGACGACGATGACCCTGGCTGACGAGAGTTTTTCTCATCGGACTTTGATCGTATTTTTCTCGCTCGCGGTAGGTCGTTTTTTACGACGCGGGGACTCGACGCAATGAATTATTTTCCCGAGATCCGCTGCAGCCCAACTTTTTTGCATCGAGCGCTTTTTTGAGCTTTACCATTTTTTTACTTGGTGCCCTTTTTTTTCACGATACCGTATTCAAATTGTATTTTAATTTTATGCGTTTGTTTCGCCAATTTTTCCGCGATTTATCCAAAGATTGTTTTATAATTAAAATGAGAGTCGAGATATTTATTTGTATCCACCTACTTGCTCCATGTTTTGTTATTCCATAAAACTTTTTTTTTAATCACCAAAAGTATCGCTGTAAAAGGTTTAAGGCTTGTTTCATTCCAAACGACTACTTGTAACATGTTTATGCACACAAATATTGGAAATTAATCTAATTTTTCAGTTTCAGCTGCCCGAGCAAACTCGTACCGGATGGGACGTGTCAATAAATTTAATTACTCGCTGTAACATGTTTATTTATTTATTTATTTTTTCAACTTTTGATCATAATGCAATAAACAAATGATCAAACCCTTGTGAAAAAGAAAAACCAAAGTGAAAAACAAACGGGAAGAAACTTGGGCCAATTAGTTGGCCTTACCTATTTCGGCAATCGTTACCAATGCTCGATTCTCAATTATCGCAACGCCCTCGCATCTCCAAATATCCACGTCAAACATCAAACAAACCGAGGGCGGGCGCCAACCCGATCTCATTCATGACAGACCAAATAATCCGAAATTTTCGAAAACATAAGTTTGCTTTTTGCCCAATAGCTCGGCTCGGTCGTTGCCGGAAATTTGCATCGTACTTTACGCTTGACCCAGAAAGCCGGTCCAACTTTTAAAAAAAATCCGTCCTCAGGATCGTCGGGGGAGGAACGAAAAATTTTTTTGACCGCCTGAATTCGTAAATAACGAGGCTATGCTTTGTGAGTCGGTTTATTTTCACGTCCGAGGCAACTTTCTTTCGAAAGGGGTCGCTCGTAGAGAGGTAATAAGTTTCGCGCCGAGGCTACTTAATTCTCCATTCGAGATTTTATTCATTTTTTTTTTTTTTCACCTTCACTCAAACTTTTTCACACCAATCGCATATAGAGCGAAATTAAGCGAGTAGTTGCCAACACTTTTGGTAAACCAAGTTGCCGAAAAAAAGAAGAAAAATATTTTCCGAGGGGTTTGTAGTTGCTACAAATTGTGTAACACCTGCATCGAAGCTCCTGGAATTTTTCAGGTCAATTAAATATGTGCCTGTTGCTTGTGCAGGGGGCGAACCACGAGGCTATGGATACAGCGGCGCTGCAACTACAAGAAAACCCGTAAGATTATTTAAATTATTTATTTGCCCGAATAGAAACTCCTGATGGTGATTCTTCTTTTTTTTTTTTTTTTTTTGCACAAATGAGAGATTACGTATGAAATCAACTCGGTGCGACTGAGTGGCTGTTGAAAAAAAAAAACACGGATCGGGTGTCGTACTTGGGGTATCGCGTTTCCAAAATATCAAACAGACCATCGCTTTTTCACTCTCCGTAACAAAACAAACTATTTCGTCCGTTCGCGATGAATATCTTTTCATTTTTTTTTTTTTTTTTATCAAATACAAAAAAAAGCAACGAGATTTGGTTTCAAGTTTTTATAAAATATTGAAGCCATGTAAACCGATAGAGCAGCTCGAGCTCGTTTTTTCGCGTTTCACTTTAACAAATCATCTCTTAAAAAAAAAAAAAAAAAAAAAAAAGGTAAACGGCTAAATCGGTTTGTTTTCCGGTCCATCGTTGCTCGCGATTGCAGCATCAGCCAAACGCAAAGAGCACGGTTGTTACACGTGAAAAATATACGTGTATTATATATATTAAAGCTAAGACCACCCCACGCACACCGGGCACTCGAAATAAAAACGGTAATTTTGGTCGATCTGTGACGTAGACGCCACGAGCTTGCAAAAAAACAGGAAGAAGATGCTATCTCTCTCACTCGAGCTTGCGCACTCGAGTTGGTTGACCGTGAGCTTCCGCGATTTCTTTCGCGTTTCGACAAATTTCACGGTACCTTGAAATGATCGATTAACAATAGACCTTTCAAATTACGTATACGTGATATTTTGGTGACGCAATGTCGAAAAAAAAAAAGAAAAAATATTTACGATGATTTGACAAAAGCCATCGGTAAACCAGCCCGCTCGAGTGTTCAAAAAAAGCTCAATGACGAATCGTTGCTTTGAGATTTTTTTAGTTTTCCTACCTTTAGAAAAAAAAAACCCCCATCGTCACCGCGTAAAAATAAAAGCCATTATGGTCGTAGTGAGTCATTGATATGTACCTCCCGCATAGTCAGCTGGTCGTCCTGTCACCCGAGGAATGGCAAATTTGGTCCAACTGGCTGACACAGGTCGCGGACAAGGCAGTCGACGATTGGGACGAGTGGCTGCTCGCCCACACCTACCTCATGCTCGATGTGTTGGGGCAACTGCACGAGGCCGAGGAGGCCATCCAACGGGAAGAACAGACGGTATAACACACGTGACCCATGTATTGTTTTTTTTTTTTTTTTTTTTTTCCATGCAATAACAGCCCATCGTTTATTAATGCACAGACGCGCGAGTCCACCGATGACGGGGATGCCAAAGCGGGATGTCGAGGTGCCAACGCTTGGACGTGCGGTGAGTTCGCCGAGGGTCTTATGTATTTAAAGCCACTTGCTCGGGCGTCCCTGAAATTAAGGAGATCACGTGAATCTAGGGGATGGGGAAAAAGTAAGTGCGTGCCACGGGGGTACAGTAGTAATAACGCGATGCCGGCGTCATACACCGGAAGGGCTGAGCAATCTTGCTGGTTTCACGCGAAGGGGTCACGCGTACACGAGGACTGCTCGACGTCAATATTAATTGTTCGACTTTAAGCTCGAGTTTTCGCCGAAGTAAAAGTTTGAGCTTTGCAACTCGTACCTCCCGATCAGGGGTTACTCGTGTGTTGGTATGTATCGGACTCTTTTGTTCGGTGTATCGCGTCTGACGCATCGTATTGATAAATTGGGGAAAAATGACAAGGTGCGAGCCAGATTTTTTCTTGCGCGCCGAAGTTTATCGTACGTGTAAGTCGTTTGTATCCCCTCCCCGGGGCTTCGAGTTTTCGGGACATGAATTTTTCAAAGTACCGAGGCTCGCGAAAAAAAAGGATAAAGTCGCGACTGCCTCGAAAAGCTGAAAATTCCCGCCGATACGGTATCGATGGTGCATGCACATATGCGCGTATTTACGGGGGCAAAATTTATGCCTTCCCCCGATACGCGGAGCCCGGACGGGGTGTGACTATGTTTCCCCCCCCCCCCCCCACAAAAATTAATATCTCAGCGATACGGGCTCTCCTCGCGCGATAACTTCTCCCACCGACGTTTCCACCCGTGCACCCGACGTTGTAAATTTCAAGCACACATACACCATCGGATAATGTCACTCGAAGCGCGATAAGTGCGAGCCGCAATCCCTAGTCGCGAGATAACCATCGAGTGATCCCCATCCTCGGGAATGAGCAATCACCGGCAAAGATTTACGCGCAACATCCCCGCTCGTGCGACGACGGTAGGTGGGTGGGAAATTAAAAAAAAAAAAACACCATCCCCCTCCTTTCCACTAGCTACAGCTTGGTTGAATGTCAAGCCTGTGTATGGAAATTCGCGGGCCCGCGTCAAATCCAAGTCGAGCTCCGTGTCGGCCCCGTTCCGTTGGCTGGCTGCGGCTTAATCTTTCACGTCTCTCGTTCCTTCCGTGGGGTGGGACATACTCGCGGCTGAAAAGGGGGTAGGTGTGTGTACATATATATGCCCCACACGTAGCCGCGTGTCCGTGTGTAATTTTATTTACGTCCGCCGAAGATAAACACCCGGGGATTACGCGGGCCACTGTAATCTCCCCCCCCCCCCTACCTTGTACCCGTGTTTTGTCCTCGGGAGCCTTTGAATGATTTGTGGCCCCACTCGGCGGATCTCGTTAGATGCTGCCTCGGTTGGCCCATTTTTTTTTTTTTCCCCCTCAAGCTGTGTATTACGAGCGAAAAGACGCGATTTGACGATTTCGGGATGTAAGGGGCACAGGAATTTTTGGGGCGACTGGTAGGTGAATTTTGTTTGGTTTCCACAGTGGAGGCCAGCGAGCGAAAAAAGAGGGAAGTAAATTATTCAGACTTGGCCGACGGGGGAGAAGGAGAATGTGCCGAGGGACAAAAGTCGGGGAGCAAAGTTGAAAAATCTTCCTGTCCGTCGGAAGTTGGCGTCCATCGGAGCAAGTCCGGGGAGGAAACAAGTGTCCAGGTACAGTTGTTTTGCCCGATGCTTTATTTATTCGCAAAAGTGCATCGTACGCCCCTTACGAGGATTTAATTTTTTTTTCTTCTCTTTTTCCCTTGTAAAAATAAAACCAAAAGTATCGAAAACCTTCCAGACGATCCCGATACCCTTGAACAAGGACGAGATGCTCGAGTTACAAAGGGAATTCAAGATCCGGGCGAAAAAGTACCGCTCGCTGCACAAACACTGGAAAAAAACGGCGGAAAAGGTACGAGAGGGTATTTAATGGTTAAAATTCCAGCTGGGCGCGAAAGTCGTCGCCGGCAATCACGGGGAAAGGTAAATATCATGTACGCTTCGATCCAGGTAATGGAGAAAATCGCCGAGAAATCCGCAGCGGGGGGCAGCCGCTTGTTATTTTTCCTCGAAACGGAGGAGTTTGACGTCGGGAGCGACGACGGCAGCATTGAGTCGAGCGCGGAGGAGGGCGGATTGGAAAGTATTGCTTGCGAAAATTTAAAGCTCTTTTTCAACCTGACGGACGCCGAGGAAGTCACTCCCGCGGAAAACGATCCCTCGGAAATATCGGAGGAGGAATGAAAAAAAAAAGGTGTACACCAACTTGGTGAAATGTAAAGCTTTGATTTTAAGCCACGTAACTGCATGGCTTCCAAGCTTTCAAGTGACGAGCGGACAAAAGAGCACAAATTTTTTTTTTCAGCACAAGCGCGGTGGTAATGGATTTATCCTTTTTTCCCTCCCTCTCTTTACATAAAATAAATTTTTCATTGTATAAAAAAAAAAAAAAAAAAAAAAATGTACATTAACGGTTACAAAAGGTTGTCGAAAAAAAGCAATAAACAAGCGAAAAAATTGTGCACAGTCAAGAGACATGTACAAGTGTATATGTACAAGACCAAAAGTAGAGTGTTGTTAAAATTGATCAGCAGAAGTACATTTATACAGAGTAAAATTAAGAATAAGCCCCAGGCACCTTACTCGCATGGTATAGCTGAGTAAGCGTGCATATATTTATATACACACGCAGAGTCGAGTACCGCTGAATAATTGAAACGTCGGCGCGAGAGAACGCGGAGCTTGGAAAATTCACGGTTATAATAAGCAGTGCACGTGTACTTATGTATACACAGGTGTAAAGAGCCCACTCGTCTCCCGTAAAATACACATTAATTGCGGGTGTGAAATTAAAAGCTCGGCTATTAAGAGTCGTTTACGTTGACGTGGCGCTTTGTATACAGCTATACGAGAGATTAAACATTAAATTTATTTAAGGCTAAGGACTCGGGGTCCTTAATAGCCTAAGCATTATACAAAGCTCAAAATATGAGGAATCTACTTGTGCTTGCAAGCACTAAACATATATAACTAAGTACAGGCAGCTTAGTGTTATTATAGCTTCTTCGAAACAAAAAATAAAATTCAATAGAAAAATGTATAAGTTAATTAAACTAAAGGTTAATAATTATACTAGATTAAGAGGAAAATAAAGTCAAAGTAATAACTGCAAGTAAAAGGTGTCGATTCACAGCACTTATGATCACTGAGTCACTTAAAAATAAAGATAAAGTCAGTTTGAGAGGCGAGGATCCAGTCGCTTGAAGTGTGAAAAAAGCTCTCCATGAAACGAGCTGGAAGCATATTTAGCTCGAATATTAGGAGGGACTTCATTCCACAGCTTAGCCGCTCCCACAGTAAAACTGCTTCTAAATAATTCAGTACGAGCCCAGGGGACAACCAGATCAAGAGAACTAGTCCTCGTAACGAATGTGGTGCGATCAGGCTTGTAGCGAAAAATCTCACCAAGGTAAGAGAGAGAAAGGGAGAGAGTATAGCTAATATTTAATTTAAAAAAGACTACAATTATACGCTGTTACGTGTGTGTACATTGAAAATACCCAGCAATTGTATTACGAGCACGCGAGTCGTAGAGACGTTAAATTAATATGTCGAGGCGGGACGGGGGTATGCATGAGAGCACGCCGCAAGCTCGTGGTTTCACCTTGACGAATTAGCATGGAAAATTACCCGTCTGCGATGAAAACTCGGTCGTGACGTAAGTAGGTACACACGCGGGAACTCGATTTGAATAAATTTAACACCCCGTGCGTCTTGGGGATGATGCGCCGGCGGTGGATCGTATACGTGGCGACGTGCGGTATATAATTTTCCACGTGCATCTTGCAAAGTTCACACCTACATGCGCGCTCGTACGGGCTGATGGAATAACGCGCGCGAGGTATCGGTATATTCCGTAATAAAATATTCTAGGCAAACTTTGAGGATCGTTTTTTTTTTTTTTTTTTTTCACTCTTTGGCACTTGTTTGCGTATCAACTATGAACTTTCTAGTCCACTTGCGTTAGTTGCGTCCAAAGAGTGGAAGAGTTTAATTTGAAGAAATGCTAAAAGAAAAGAAAATAACCAGCTCTCGGGTGCTATACGCCTCGATTCAATAAATACTAATAGGACGGCGCGTGAATTGGGTTGATGAAAAATTAGCTGTGTTATACCAGGTCGGTTCCATTTTCTTTTTTTTTTTTTTTTTTTTCGCTTCGTTACTTGCAAATTATCAGCGCAACTTGCTGCGTTCGTTTTTATACGGATCATCGGAGCGGAAACATCGAGTAGCGCCCAATTACAAAATAATCATTCCATGATGGGTCGTTCAACGGTTTTTTAATTGCTCATCATTTTTACTCTTTTTTTTTTTTTTTTTTTCATCTTCATTAAAAGCGTCAAACAACACGAAATCTACAAACAGACCGGAATCATCGAAGAAATAAAAAGTCACACGGTAAGCGACACGTGCTAATGAATTTAAATTCGCGAGGTAACGAGCTTCATTTATCACCAGTTCGAACGAGCACGCGGCCGATACATTGATTTCCGCCCATCATCGGCTTTAATCAGACAAAACAGCCGTAACGTACAACGTGAAATGAAAAACACTCAACGAAACGAGCACCCTCGTCAAATCCAATTTCCATGCACCCGCCACTTGTACGCGGGCCGATAAAAATTAAAAGGACACCGTGTGTACACACAGCCACGAAAATTCCATTCCTAATATCCGTAATAGCCAACCGTGCTGGTGGTGATGATGATGCATGACAACGTCGAAGGGGGCGCACCTGCACTCGCCCCTAATCCCCCGCAGTCCGAAGCACGATTTTACCGTAAGCTCGAAGGGGAGCTTTTGGATATACGGCACCTCATGCTCCACTACCCATGAGGGTGTGAATTCGAGAGAGAAACGGCGCGCCTGCGCCCACCCGCCCGGCGAGTCCTCCGGCGAAGGCGCGCTCGGCCGAGCCGCAGTACTGCCACGGTACTCCGGATCTCTGCTTCGCTCCCGAGCCAATACGCCACTTTGGCTTTGTTTTCGCGGCTGCGATCGCGAGTAAAAACCGGTTTCACGAGGCAGGGGACGAGTGGAAAGTTTCCCCGAGGGGCCCAAAGTTCGGAGGTACCTTTTTCGTGGGTCGTAAACATTGGCACGCGAACAAGCCGCGGGGAGGGAGGGACGCGGGTGCGAGGGTGGCAACGATGAGAGGGCCCGGCAAAAATGTGCCCCGAGAGACGAGGAGGACCGAGGCGCGCCGCCGTGCCTTCAAAGCCGTTGGCACGCGCCTCGCGCGCTAATTGAGTTCAGTCGTGGCATGGCAATATTACCCGGCCCATAGAAGGGGGGGAGGGGTACTTTTTCCTCTACCACCTATGTACTCTTGATCTCGGTAATAACGAGATTACGTGGATGCATTAGCAGGAATTGGTGGGGGTGAGTGCGGGCCGGATGATCGACGAGGGATGCGTCGAGGAGGCCTGTGAGTGCCGTGAGATGCTGTCGCAGAGGAAAAGGGCGAAAATGCGCTCCAGAGGCGTGTTGTTGTGGTGCTGCTGTTTTTGTCGGGATTTTTCCTACCGAGAGCCACGGTGAACCGCGAATCGAGCGGGCACCTCCGCTTGAGAGGTGAGTTTTCTTTTTAGATTTTTTTGTTGCGTTAATAATTACTGGTTTCAACGTAAGGAAACTGCACTGGGGGAGGGAAAAAAGTGCTATTTGCCGGTGTGCCCGGGGTTTTATAGTCGAGGGCGTGTAAGGGTTCTTTTTTCGCGAATTGACACATTTTCCGAGTGTTTGCTTTGGGATGGAAAGGGAATTTTTTTTTTTCATTCAAAGGTTCAAAGCGCGTTTACCGAGACTCTGTCGACCTATGCGCACACGAATGAATATTTTGAAAAACATTTCATGAACCCCCGGGATATCCGTTGCATGGAGGGTAGAGAGTTGAAAAAAAAAAAAAAAAAAAAAAAATGTAATTCAAAGCAGTGCGATGAAATGACGATGAATCGCTCGGTATTTACGGAACTCAATACACCCGATGACGAATGGTAAATTCATTAGAGCTCGGAGAGAAAAAAAAGAGGGAGGGTTCATCAGAAAAGCCGTGGGTCATTCCAGTAGGGTCCGCTTTGTAGCGTCAAACGCAAGACTCATCGCGATTCGTGCATGTATTATAAATTCGAGCAAATGGAAATTAAATTTCGCAAAGGCTATCATAGTTTTAATTTACGGGAACGCTTATAGCTTCCTGTCGACTAAAGAGTGTAGTTAGCAGAATCGGATGAGAATAGTCAAAATCCCGAAATGACTGAGACTTTGTATTCTACACTGCTGTTATTAAAATGATTGTGGCTGTATTCCATGAGTTGAAATTAAACTTGGATTAAGAGTCGTTCTATCTACAAAATTACAACTGGATTTTTAGGCGTACTTAAGCCATTTTAATGGTAGACATTACAGTAAGAGTCCAATTTGCTAATGTTCATCCACGTGGGGTGGATGGCTGAAAGACTAAAAAACCTTTTGAAGTACCGAATTTGAGAGACGATCTACATCCATGTAGTCGCATGAACGTGCGTGAACTCTGTAGAGATAACTTTCAAAGAGGCCCCAAAATAAAATAAAACGAGTGACTTGTATAAGAACCGTAAGTAATCTTGAAAAATTAATTTTAATGAACCTATTGTTTGGAGGCAAAGAAATTTGGTTCGCAGCCGAAGCTTAAAATTTTACGAATTCCCGTGAGGATTTCTCGCCGAACAATAATTTCACTCGTTCACTTGGAGCAAGTTTATTCGCATACGCCTCGCCTTTCCCAGTCGTGAAAACTTGATCAAAGATGGCTCATTGAAATCGAATCGAAATTATGCAGTGGGCGATCGATAATTTTTAATTGAAAAAAAAGGAAGACCGAACGAACTTTTTCCCGAGGAGGCAAATTAAATTTTGAGCCCAAGCAAGAGAAATTCAAGGGGCGGGGAGGGGCACGGGTGGCACTTTCTCACGAGAATGGAGAGGTTTTCCTTGGGCGCGAGCTGTCGGGCGATTTCTCCGGGAGGGTCATCGATGGACCGGGGGAAGGGATTCATATTAGAAATTGGAACGGCAAAGAAGCTTTGTCGTCCGGAACAAAGTGACCCCATTGCCCCTCGGAGGATCCTCTCGCACCCCGAGATTTTTCCCCGAGTAGCGGGACATTGGAAGTTTTGCCAAACTTTTGTACTTCGCGTCACGAG